TATAGAATAGCATAGCATAGCATAGAATAGAATAGAAAATATGGAATGGAATAGAATAGAATAGAAATAGAATAGCATAGCATAGCATAGCATAGAATAGAATAGAATAGAATTCTTTATTGCCCAAGTGGGACGCAAGTTGCCTTCAGAAGTTGTGGACGCTCCATCGCTGGGGGTTTTAAAGAAGAAATTGCACGATCATTTATCCAGAATGGCAGAGGGCTGGACTAGAAGACCTCCAAGGCCCCTTCCAACTCCGGCGTTCTGCTACAGCTCCCTTTTTGTCAAAGAGGAATTATTCCACATACACACGACAAGAGTACGGTAGACGGTGTAGACGACCTTCAGGGAAGAGATGCTGCCTAAGCAAGGGTCAAACCAGAGAGGACGTAGCCCGCAGCCGCGTCACGGGTGGAGAAAGACCCCCAGGAAGGACCCTGCCTAATGTCTCAGACTGTAACGAGGGGCAGCGGGGAGGTTTGTGCTTCCAGAATGGCAAGATCCTGTCAATGCAGCCTCACAAAAAGTAGAATTAGCTTCGTGCAGGTCCTGTTTCCTGCCTGGGAGGTCTGGCATCATCAGTCTTGTAGCTCTGAGAAGTATTCACTTGCTGCTGTCGCTTGTAACTTGATGCATGAAGGGGGATCCCAGTTAAGTGCCAAAGACCAGAAGCAACATGTGAAGTTCCAGTTAAACTGATTTATTCCTCAGGCTAAGATCAGCAGGACTTGGGTGTGAGACGGAGGTCAATGGAATTCAAAAGGGATTTAGAACAGAATAAAGCTGGAAGGAACCTCGGAGGTCTTCTAGTCCAGCCCCCTGCTCAAGCAGGAGAACCTATAATATTTTCAGGTAAGTGACTAGTTTCTTCTTAAAAACTTCCAGTGATGAAGCACCTACAATTTCTGGTGGCAAGCTGTTCCACTGGTTAATTGTCCTCACTGTTAGGAAGTTACTTCTTCATTCCAGGTTGCTTAATTTCAGGATTAGTTTCCAACCACTACTTGCAGCTATGTAGGGATTCTAGGCAGATTCCTCTCTCTCTCTCGACTCCAAGTTCTCCATTCCTTCTGAATTTTATCCTCCGGCCGTTAAGCAATAGAAGGTTCCTCCTTCTCTTCTTCCTAAGCAGCGTCTCTTCCTCTTCCCCCCAAGTCATCTGCACAGTCCTTTACACAGAGGTTGTCCGGGCCAGGCCGGGCACAGGTCCCAACCCCCAGTGGCAGAGCTCACACGACAGACTCTTCCCCCAAACGCCACGCGTTCAACCGAAACCCCGATCTCGTGGCAAAAGATTCCTCTGGCCACTTACTCAGACTCCACCAAGTACTGTAGTTTACACAACAGCTCTGCGGAGGAGATGGGGGTACTGTTTTCTTTAGAGACCCTTTTAAGAGCCGTGGTGGGGAAGTGGGTAGAATGCAGTATTGCAGACTGACCCTGCTGACTGCCAGCAGTTCGATTCCCGATGGATCGAGATCGACTCAGCCTTCCGTCCTTCTGGGGTCGGTAAAATGAGGACCCAGATTGTTGGGGGCAAGAGGCTGACTCTGGAAACGGCTTAGAGAGAGAGCTGGAAAGCACCGCAAAGCGGTACAGAAATTGAAGCGCTATTGCTATTTTCCTTCCTTCCTTCCCAGTATTTTCCTTCTTTCTACATGAAAACCATCCTTCCTTTCTTCCCAGTGGTTAGAATGCAGTATTGCAGGCTAATTCTGCCGACTGCCAGCAGTTCGATCCTGACCGGCTCCAGGTTGACTCAGACTTCTGTCTTTCCGAGGTCAGTCAAATGAGGAGCCAGATTGTTGGGGGCAAGAGGCTGACCCTGGAAACGGCTTAGAGAGGGCTGTGAAGCGGTATATAAGTCTAAGTGCTATTCCTCCCTCCCTCCCTCCCTCGTATTTTCCTTCTTTCTACATTAAAACCAACCTCCCTCCCTCCCTCCCTTCTAAAGATCGACTCAGCCTTCCGTCCTTCTGAGGTGGGTAAAACGAGGAGCCAGATTGTTGGGGGCAAATAGGCTGTAAACCGCTTAGAGAGGGCTGTAGTAGAGCACCGGGAAGCAGTCTATACGTCGAAGGGCTAGGGCTGTTTTCTCAATTCCGCGGCTCAGCTTAAGTGACGGGGAACTTCTCCCGGACTCTCCCAGGCATCGATCCGTTCCGTTTCCACGTCTCTGTCTGAGACCAGCCAGGCCAGACAGAATCATCGGAAGCCGGCAGATGCCCTGGAGCTGGGCGCCTACGACTCCTGCCCACCACCACAGCAGTGAGAGAATTCATTTCCGCAGCAGCTAATCGCTCCGGGGGGACTAAAAAAGCTGCTTTCCTGGGCTAATGAGGACACAATTCACGGCTCACCTACTAAGCTACAATGGAATCTGGGCTTAGCTGGCTCAGCGCCCGTCGCTACAGCTCCAAAATCACTGGCAGGTAATGAGAGCCGATACAGAAAAAAAATCTGCTTTACTAAATCCACTCAAGGACCGGAGCTCGGATGGGCATCCGGGAAAGGATCGGCTGGTGCCAAGAGCAATAAGCCCCCACCCCACCCCGGATTCCCTGTGCCTGGGCACCGAACACGCTGGCATATTGCAGTAGGTGGTGGGGAGGGGGGGGGAACCCTGCCTGCCAGGTGCTGGCGGAGCAAATCCAGATGCCTTGTTGGCCACCAACACGG